TCTGGTCTGTAGAGCACGGAAGGATTTTTGGCGCAGTGTTCCCCGACCCCCACCCCCACCTCTTCTGCTTCCCCCAGCCCCAGGGGAGGTTCTCTCCAGCTCCAGACGGGACACATGGGGGGCTGGCAACTCTGAGCTCCATTGGTGGCAGCTGGCAAGATGCTGAAGCTATTCTTCCCTTTTAGAGAATTAGATGGAATTAGCTTTGCTAACTCCTTCCGTTAGCCCTGCCCACCAAATCCCCCACTGATCGCAACAGGGCCGCCTGCCAGCTACTGGCAGGATGAAGCAGAGCCGGGCGCTCACCTGCAGCGCCTTCTCCCCGGAAGCCTGAGCCGCACCTGCAGCTGCCGGCTGGCTCTCCTGCCACGGCCTGGGCACCCCAGGCCTTGCAGCCCTCTGAATGGGGTGGGGCCTGCGACTCTGTGCTCATCAAAAGTGCAGCAAAGTTTTTACCTGGGGATTCTGGAGAAAGCATGAGCTTTGCGTGAAAACAGAACTGGGCCAGTCTGGCTCTATCAGTACCACTTTTTTAAAAAATTGATTTTAGAGGGAGGAAAGTGGAGAGAAAGAGATCGATTTCTTGTTCTACTTATTTATGCATTCATTGGTTGATTTTTGTATGTGTCCTGACCAGGGATCAAAACCTTGGTGTATTGGGACAATGCTCTAACCAATTGAGCTACCCGGCCAATACCATCTGTATCACTTTAAGCAAGGAGTAGAGAAGGAGTAGAGAAAGAGTAGACCTTTCTAAAAGTCATCTCCAAAATGGAGGAAATAATATTTTCTTTACTTTGCTTATTATGTGTCTCCCCCACTATGCGCCATGAAGCAGACATCATCTTTTCATGGCTTGATCTCCTGCACCCAGCACAGTGCCTGGCACTTAGAATACCCTACAAATAATTGCGGAAGGAAGGGGAAAAAACACCTTTCCAGCAGGATTGTTGGGAGCATTAAAGGAGATGACATATGTAAAGCATGTGGGTTGCATGTGCTCTGTAAATGAATTTTTGGTTCCCAGCTTATTCTGATCACGTGACATGAGGCTTCATTATATGACTAATGATGACTGTCATTCATTCATTCATTGAAGAAATACTGAGCAACTACCACGTGTCTCACGGACAATACAAATATGAAGAGCACTGTCCTCACCTGGAAGAGGCTCAGTTATCATTTTAATAGCATCGTGTGCAACATATAGAGCATAGAGAGCTATGAGTGCCCAGAGAAACGGGCCTTCCCAAAGAACAGGTAGGGACTAACCAGTAAAGAAAGCAGGAGCAGAGCAAGGCGGCGGGGATCTGGAAAGGGAAGGAACTTTTTGCATCAAATTCATGGCCCATTCACCAAGCTGAGTCCCTGGAGAAGAGTAGTAGGTGATGACTTGTATCGCACACAGGAGGTGTACTTGGAAGAGACTTTTACTCATCTATTTTCTCAAGAGATGTAGAAGCTGTATCTAGATATTGCCTTCAGTGAGTTAGACTCCCTTTGAGACCTGTGTGAAGGACAGTGCAAGTCCTCTGAGATTTTAGGCTCCAAACTTAGAGACCCAAACCAACTAGATGGCAGTAACCAGAGGCAGGTGCTGCCTTATGGTCAGGAATGTAAACAAATCAAAGCAAGCGTATCTGTATTTGCCATCACTTTCTCCCCCTGTGTTCTGAGCAGGATTTCTTGGGAAACTCCAACCAAGGCAGCTCTTAACATTTTAGTGACGTGGTTTAAGGTTTCCAAAGTTTGTTCCATGGTCAGGATATGCCATTCTGAGTTCCACCTATACTATTACTTTTACCTAATTCTTTAAAATAAATTACTCTTTACTTAAAGAAATAGTTTTGAAGATTGATTTGCTGTATATGATGAGCAAACAAGTATCAAGTGCCCTTGTCTTCAAACATTACTGCTACTCCAGCCGGGCCCCCACAGGCAAGCCCTTTCTACACCCTCCATGAAGAGATGCTCACACACAATTCCCAGCAAGCTCTGGGGCAGAGCCTCAGCCAAGATGGACCAATGAAGCTCTAAATTGGTACCTACTCAATGGAGTATGTTAGAAAGAGAGTGCGGGTCAAGAGGATCATATCCCACCACAAGTCTCCTTGAACACCACCAGCAACAGGAAGAAAAATGTGGCACTTAAAGGCATGACACCTTGGTTGGGGTCCTGCCTCTAACTTTTACTAGTTGTGCGGCCTTGGGCAAGTAACTTGTCTGAACTTCACGTTCCTTATCAATAATATTATTGGCATAGCAATTTCTCATATTAGTGAACCAGTGAGATGATCAGAATGACATGATTGCAAAATCATCTTCTAGACTTTAAAGTAGTTCCAAATGTTTATTATTTTACTAGGAATTAAATTTTCAGGATACAGTGAAGCACACATTTTCACTCTCAGAACCTGGACACCATCATTAACAATGAGGGAACATCAAGAACACTCTCCTTGACCGTTCAACAAACTGTTCTTGTTTCCTCTGATGTGTGAGCACGCTAACCTGGAGGCATGAACACAGAGCAAATGTGGCTGTGACAGTTGGCACAGGGCGCAGAAGGCCCGGATGCATTAGTCACCCCGAAAGGTTACAGAAAACAAGGACAGCTGTTTTGGATGACCATGCAGACCGTGGACACCACAGTCATTTTGGGTAACAACCTGCTCTTCTGAGACTCACACCTTGGCTCTCTCTCCCCCTTCTGCTCTTCACCTTGTCCTCCAGACAGCGCTTCTCTTTCACTGAAGACTCACGCACCTGGCTCTCAGGGTCCACACAGTGCGCGGACTTGGGGCTCTCAGCTCCTTCACTGATATACACGTGAACACCCTAGTTCTTTCCACTCGTTGTTTGCTTCCAGGAACCAAGTTATGTTTCATCTAAGGGTCTTTGGGTGGTAAATCCAGGAGCCTAATAAACTCTCCAGACACAAAGTAGGCATTTATTACCTTGATAATGAAAGGTTGCTAAATGGAATACAGTTGGGCCTCAGGGGAGTTAGAACCAGGACTCTTTGTCTTTAGAATAAGTGATCCTCTTCCTTCAATTTCAACTAGAGGTCCCGGCCCTGCCTGGATCACATGCTAACCCTGTGCCCAGACAGATGGCATTTGTACTAGTATTGGCAGCCCTGCAAGAACCACATGGTGGGAGTGGGAGCAGCAGCTCCCAGAATTAAGTGGCTGTTATTCCCTGAAAAAGGGAGGGAAACACAGGTATTCTCCTTAATCACTCCTGAGTGTAATGTCTCTACCGAACGGAAACCATGCACAGAAATCTGTATCTTGAATTCTAGTACCAACTTCTTAGGCTCTCAACTTGACTTCCTTATCCTATCTAATGGCATATTCTGACTGTGGATGCATAGGTCAAACTTTGGAAACCCTAAACCTCGTCTCTAAAATGTGAAGAGCTGCCCAGGTTGGAACTTCCCAAGAAATTCTGCTCAGAACTCAGGGTAATAAAGTGATGGCAAATAAAGATACACTTGGTTTGACTTGTTTAAATTCCTGACCATAAAACAGCACCTGTCTCTAGTTACTGCCATCTGTTGGTTTGGGTCTCTATATCTTCTGAGGACTCTGAGAACGTCTCTTGTGTGTCCATAGTGCACAAAGAAAAAGCAGATGATAAAGGCACCTCTTCGAGCAGTGAGGGTAGAAGCAGAGTGGAAACAGTGTGAAAATGCAATTGTGGAGAATGGAGACTGAGTTACCTATGAAACTGTAGCAGGACTGCAAGCACTGATACAGGTGTGCCCACCAAAATGCATGGTAAAGCATAATTTCCAATGCGATGGATTTAGACGTGGGGCCTTGAGCTCTCATGAATGGGGTTAGTGCCCTTATTTTAAAAAAAAACAAAAACAAAAAACCCTCAGGGAGCTCTCTTGCCCCTTCCTTGATGTGAGGACACAGCAAGTAGACACCTGTCTACAAACCAGGAAGTGAGGCTCATCAGAGAAACTGTCAGCACCTTGCTACTGAACTTCCCGGCCTATAGAACTATGAGAAATAAATGTCTTGTTTAAGCCACCTAGTATTTTCTTTTTCTTTTATAGCAGGCTGACTAGACTAAGACAGTGGGTAATTGTGAATTTACAGTAGATCCAATTTGTCTTGTATGACTTTTTCTCTAGCAGTATTTGGCTGCTGGGATGCAAATATGGAAAAACTGGACTGCTGGGTTCTTAATTGGGAAAATTTATGTTTCTTCATTAGTGTAGCCTCTGCATTTATAAAGTATTCTTATTTTAAAAGGACATACACAAATGATGTAACTATGATACAGTTTATTTCAACATAGTAAACAAAAATAAGACAACTTCTCTAGGAAGAAAAAAAAATTCTATTATATATACAGGGTTGTCTTGATTGACCATAAGGTATTTTAGCAAAAAATATTTAGGTGCATAGTAGCTCATAAAGCTCTCTGTACACAGTAGATAGCAAATAACTTTGCTAAACGATGAGACATTTGGAAAAATCAAAACATAGTTGTAAAACAGGGTCAAATGCATAAGACTCTTTGAACTTAGAAAAAGACTGAGTTTTTTCTTATTTGTACTTAAGAAATCATTCTTCAGCCTTCCGTTTTCACCTATATTTTCTTTAACAGAATTAAGCATAAAATTTGAAGGCATAAATTCTTTCTTCCTAAAGCCTCAGGAATATCAGATTCTCCTTCAAACCTGTCTAAAAAGGAGTGGAACATTTAAAACAAAGATATACAGATTTCACTTCTGTTCCACTTGTGCAGATCCTGTTGGGAACATGTTCCTCAGCTGGTGACCAACTCACTCAACTTAGTTCAAACACATGAGACCTTATTAGAGGACTAAACTGGCTCTCATAGAGCCCATCAGCAGCTTCCTTTATCACTGAAAATCAGTTAGTGACTTTTAGCCTTCAGCTTAATCTGCACACTTGCAATTTGAGAATTCTATGACAGTGATGTTAGCATATTAAATGTAAAATGCAAGATTCTGATAATTAAGTAACTTAATTTTTAAGTCTGCAAGCCACTATTTCCCCCAATAATCAGTTTTTTTAATTGAAGAGTTTTATTCAGCCTCAGAATAAAATCCATGCTTTAAATGGCGAGGTGCACTGTAGGTATGCCATGCTACCAGTCATTACTGGGGCAACAAATGGCCAGTCAGTGACCATATTTATTTAGAGCATATATTTAGAACTGGTATGCACAGTTTTTCTTTTTGAAATTGGCCCAGGACATCTCAGACAATCTACAGGTATTGTCACAGCACTTGCTCTGATGTTCAGAATGCCTCAGAAATGTGTTCGGTGTCAGGATTTATGGGTTCTCCCAAAGGTTTTGTTGTTAACATGCCAGCAAAGAGTATTAAACAATATTTTCTAAGTTATGGCTGCCAAATATTAAAACTTAATAATAAAACCAAATTACAAAACATTTTCTTGCAAAGCTTTACAAAAGATATAAAATTAAAAATATCAACCATGTGGTTCTTGCAGGGCTGCCAATACTAGTACAAAATATCGACCTTTGAATATTACAATTCTCCTACGGTACAGTTTTCCACATCTTTATGACTAGTGAATAGTTTAAGGAGAAAGTTAATAAAATCAAAAACTAAAAATATTTAAATTTTGGATTGCTTTCTTCCATGGCCTTCATAATAACACAAAAGTGGTCAGGCTTTTTCCCACTAAAGCTTAAAACATCAAAAAGATTTACTAGTAATTTATAGCCAGCAATGAACTCTATGCTGAGTCATTTGTGGATCACAGGCCCAAGGACCAGTGTTGTGATATCTCATAGGTTGCCAAAATAATTTCTAACACTCTGAATCCTCTTAAAATATAACGGAATGAGTCAACTTATCACAACAAAATTCCAGGCATTATTAGAAAGAACAAGTTAATTGATACCTAGTTTTATTGTCCTAGAAAGGGGAGAGTGTCGCTTATTTGAAAATACAGCTAAGTACATTCTTACCTATGATTATTTACATTCATATACTGAAAATATCTATTATTTGGACAAATCCTGTGATATGTCATTTACTATGAAATGAAGTTCTTACAATGAGCATGAGTAATTTATCCTTTTCATATAATAAAAGAGTGTATCAAATCTTCATTTGTTTTCCAAACATTTTAAAAGAAAATCAAAATAAAATATCTTAAGCCTGGAAAGCTATAAATAAAAGACCCACACGTAGCTCTGCTCCTCAGCACATCAACTTCTGCAAGGACAGAGTATGCTTATTGACTTTGAAATGTTTATTCTTTAAAAAATTAGTTGCTTTTCACACAGCTCTACAAAGCTCTCAATGTTTCTTTGGCAATGGAATATAATGGAGTTTTACAACATACAGAGTTACCTTTGCCTAAGAAACAGTTATTTACTGTGTGTACATAGTTTACTGACAAAATTCTCTACCATCTAGCACCCTAATTAATTGACAAAATAAGCTATCTCAAAAGGGTTATTACACATTTCCAAAAAGAAAGAGAGGGCAAAAGATACGCATGCACGCACGTGCAGATGTGCACCCCACCTCCTATGGCTCAAAACACAGTATCACAGCCCTCTCTGCAGGCAACTTGCAATAACTGCCAAATATGATTTAGTGATCAGAAAAATCTCTTCAGTTATTAGTCCTATTTAAGTATTGCTTTAGTTTAACTATATATTAAAAATTACTTAACTTTCTGCTATTTCAAATATATTTAATGATCCTTTTTAATGGTGAGCTGCCCCCTCCCCAACTGCCCAATATAACTGTATCGTATCTTTGAAATTAAGCAGAAAAACAAACAAACAAAAACCAGTGCTGGTGACAAATATGCAGCAAATTCACTTCTTCATTGTTGGTAAAGATTAAAACCAATTCTCAGGACCACAGAGAGCTAGAAATTCACCTATTTTCAAAGACTTGTTTGTAGACTATGCGGCAACTTTATTGCCTTTGCTGTATTCAAAGCCTGCAGACTCCCTGCTCCAACGACCTCCTGTGATCCACCAGGGAATGCTCGGGGCCGGTGAAGATTCCTGCCACGTGGAATCTTCACCACTCCTCTACCTCTGTGTCCCGCGTGGACAGAGTTTGGACAAAGCGGGATTCCAAATGGTTCAGCACTTGATCTTTCTTCAGCCCAGGCTGGTCTCCATTCTCTATTGTCACCACAAGAAATATTATTAAAGAAGGATTTAGTGTTGTCATAATAGCATTGAGGTTCAAGTGGGTCTTCTTCATCGACATCTCCTTCACTACGTGAGTATCAGTTCCTGTCAATCACTTTTTTTTAATAACAAAGAACAAAATGGCAAAAGAAGCAGGAAAATGTGGATGTCCCAAAATGAGAGAACTGTAAAAATTTCATATGGAAGACATGACTAGGGTAAGCTTATACTGTAATGATTGTTTGTATTGTATCTAATTAGACAGTAAAACAGCCCAGTCTGAACACACTGAATCAAACTGTCTTCCCAGATCCTTCCAAGATGTGATTCTACATACTACAATGAAACATTGTTAATAAATGCAATATACCATAGAACTACCAGTTTTTATACTCCTAAATAAACTCAACTTTAACTACTATAAAAATGATTTAAATACATGTGCTGTTAAAAGATTATCAACATACTTTGAATTTTTTTTCTTTACCTGCAAGATAATATTAAAAAGAAATTCCACAATTTGATTCCTTAAAAACTAAGAATAAAATACTAAACAAAATAAATAAATATGCAACCTGGAGGCCTGGAAAAAGGTATAGAAAATCGAATATAATACAGCAGTGTATAAAAATCCAGTATTTTGGTATTAAAATTTTTTCATCTCAATATAGTTAGGTTTACTGCTACTGTAAATAAGCTTCATATTAAGGCACATGTCATTACCTATGAGAAAAATTCAGATTCAAAACAAAGGAGATGTGGACTCTAAATATGGACAGTGTTTCTTTCATTCCAATGTCATTACAGATATTATCAATTTTAAAAGTTAAGTTTTTGTATGGCAGTAGATACATATCTTTGGATATATTACCTACATATAGTTAAAATGTTTATGATACTTTGATACTTTAATGTATATGATAATTAAAGTATATGATACTTCAGTGGGGAAACAGGCAAAATCAAATCAAGAAGGTTGACAAAAAACTAAATACAAGAAATAGGATATCTTTTAAAAAATTACACTGTAGAGATAGCGACTATGACCAGATCTTGGCTGAGTCATTTAACTTCTCTGAGCCTCGCCCTTTCCATCGGTAAAATTTCAATGCCAGCTGCTCTGTCAAGTTTAGGGAGCTGCTGTGGGATTAAATTAGGTGATAAGGTAAAAACACATGGCAAACTACAAAGCACTAAACAAATAAATGGTATTATCATAACCCAACTATCTCATTTCTGATATTCTCTCTGATAAATAAGGTTATAGCCATTTCCTTTTGCATCCACTTGAGAACTCCTGTTTTACTCAGATAGTTGTGGCATAAATGGAGCAAAAATTTATACAAAGAGAAAAATCTCTAAATTTTAGCTTTCAGAATTTTAGAAAGTCGTATGCTGTGAGGGGGGGCCCCACAGTTTTCTGGGGCTCAGGCTACCTTTTGACACTTCCTTGCAATAAAGAGACAGACTTCCCGGAGACCACGGCTCCTGGCCTTCCCCCGGCCTCCTCTGCAGAGACCTGTCTCCTCCTTCACTGTCTGCCTTCGTCCGGCACGCTGAGTTCCATTAAAAGGACTACATCTCACAACAGCATAACGGAGTTATAAGAATATTAAGGAAACACACCTGAGCCCAATCACAGTACATTCATTAGTCAGCTCGGCACAAATTTGAAATGGTTTCATAACCCCCACCAGGTTCTCAGGGGCTTAGTCCACAAGCCCTTCTATGTATAAATGGTTCTAGACCAGCTTTTTCCAAACTATGTTTTGAAGAACACAGTTTAGTCAGGTTAGATGTTAACCCATGAAAAGCAAATCTGTGGTAGGTTTCAAATATGCAGCGGGAAACAAGTCTACATACTGTAGAATTTCTCAGTCTTTGATGTACTGACTGAACAATATAAAAGGAAGAGACAATACAGGATTTCCCAAACTCATTGGACCACAGAATCTCTTTTCTCCACAAAATATCTACAGAGGCAAATAGCTCTTAGAATACTCTCTGGAAAATGCTGTTCTAGCTAACTCACCTGGTTTTAAACATTCCAGGGTTATGTCTGATAATAGTTATCTTTTTAAATTTCTGAAGGAACACAAACATTTTGCCCACAAGACCAACTACCACAATAACCTCCTGGACTCCACTCCGTAAGTATCCTGCCCCAAGCAACTAAGAACTGAATTTCCTTTATTACATACTGAGGAAATCAAAGTTGTTACTCTCAAAATAATGAAAATTATAATTTTTAGGAAATCTTTATATCTTTTCTCAAACACTAAAAATACAAAGATCTAACTCTAGATCTTAGAATCTAGTTCACAATTACTTTGAGACGGAAGCATTTTATCACAGTATTACTGCAATTAATATTATTAATAATAAGGAGTAATAATAGCAGCAGTGGTGGTGGTAGTACTAAGTACTTATTTTGTGCCTTAATCCTCAGGTCCACTCTGTGAATTTAGGACTTTCCATTATACTCCCTTTAAAGATAAGTACACTGAGGTAGAGAGGAATTAACTGACTTGCCAAACATCACAAGAAGTAGTAAGGACAGAATCTCAAACTCATACCTGACCCCTCCCCTCAAGCTCTTAGTCACTACATAATGCCATCCTATATTTTAGTAACAAAACAAAAACATTTATGTCACACTCTGCTTGTTAAAGTGGAAAGTTATGGTGTATTCTTATAAATCCACATTGATTGACATTTGGTTCTGGATTTCCTTTTGAGCAGTCCTGTTCCCTCAAGGAGATACTGTAAGGTTTTGTTTTGAAGCAGAGAAGAATAGACTGCTATTTACCAATGACAGGTTTAGATAAGGGGAGGGTTTCAAAAATCTGCATCCAAGGTGAAGACATTATCTGTGGTTTCTGCCATCACTGCAAAACGCTGATACTCTGAAACTCGTTTCTCAAAGAAATTTGTTTTCCCTTCTAAAGAAATGTTTTCCATAAAATCAAAGGGATTTTCTGCATGAAAAACCTGAAAGAAAAATAAAGAAATGTTATTAGACATTCTGAGGAAACCAAATTATATCCCACAAGAAGAGCAACAGATAGTTAACATAGAGCTCAGGCCGCCCAACACCTGTCTGGTCACCTACAGGCTCTCACTATTCCCTAAAGGCCTGAAGGCACTCAAGGCTGATGCATTTGCAGAGGACTAAGGTCACATACTAGCATCTTTAAGAAATTATACTAGCATCTCTGGTATTCTAAGAAGTAGAAAGGGGGGAAAAATCATTTCAGGAAATGAAAGATTTAAAACCAACCAACTAAAATGTTTTCACAGTTTGAGAAATGTAATGCACCATAGATATTACAGACATTTCTCACAGATATTTATTACCAATAGGTAGTCACCTATACATGATATTACAAATTATTAAGTTACCAACAATGTAGTATAGACTTAAGTATTTCTTAGTTCGTAAAAGAATAATCATATCAGTTAAGGGACCATGATGAGGTAAGGCAGAATAAATTCTATCCATAGTGACCCAAAAAAGTGGGACATGTATGTTGACAAGAAGCTTTTTCACTGCTTCTCAATTCAAGAAGCAGCTCTGGAGATACAGCTTGATGGAAACTGTGAGACATTTTAATGACTCATGAGGGTCAATAAAAGAAGATTTTTTTAAATTAGGAGTATTCCAGCAGAAATTATGAACACCACAGATAAAATATATTCAAATAACTCAATTAAAAATGGGCAGAGAATCTGAATAGACAAATAGACATTTCTCTAAAGAAAATATACAAAAAGCCAATAAGCACATGAAAAGATGCTCAAAATCATTATCCACTAGGTAAATGCCAATCAAGGCCACAGTAAGCTACATTTCACACACATCAGGATGGCTACAATGGGGGAAAAAAACAAACAGATAATAAGCATTGGTGAGGATGTCAAGAAATCGCAACTCTCATATACTGCTGGTGTTAATGTAAAATGGTGCAGCCGCTTTAGAAAATGGACTGACAGTTCCTCTAAAGATTAAAAATAGACTTAGTAGATGACCCAGCAAAAAGTGTATTTGGTTTTCTTCTATAAGATGGCTCTAGTAGCACTTAGTTGTCTTTAACTTCATTCAAAATAATTTTTGTTAGATTGTATTATGACAGCTGTCACATCAGCATTCATTAAAAAAACTTATCAAAATTGGTGAAGTTTTGTGTAGCCATTTTAATATTGAAGATGGAAGAAAATAAGTGACATTTTTGGTATATTGTTTTATTATTTAATGAAAGGTAAAAATGCAACTGGACGCAAAAAAAGATTTGTGCAGTGTATGGAGGAGGTGCTGTGACTGACAGAACATGTCAAAAGTGGTTTGTTAAGTTCCATGCTGAAGATTTTTCACTGGACAATGGTCCACGGTCAGGCAGACCAGTTGAAATTGATACATAAATAGAGACATTAATTAAATTATTTAATTATTAATTAAATAGAGACATTACCTGAGAACAATCAACATCATACCACATGGGAGAGAGCTGACATTCTCAAAATATAAAATTATTCTCAAATTAATAAAGTTATTGGTGAAAATGAAAAATGTGTCCTTTATTTTAAGGAAAAAAATAAACAGACTATTTGGCCAACTCAATACGTATCCAAGAGAAATGAAAACATACGTCCACACAAAAACTTACACATGAATGTTCATAGCAGCATTATTCATAATAGTCAAAAAGTAAAACCACTCAAATGTCTATCAACCCATAAATGGATAAGTAAAATTTGGTATAGCCATACAAAAGAATATTATTTGGCCATAAAAAGGAATAAAGTACTGATACATGCTATAACGCATATGAACCTTGAAAACATTACATTATGTAAAGAAGGCAAACACAAAAGACCACATTCTGTATGGTTCCACTTATGTGACATGGGATATACAGAACAGGCAAATCTAAAGAGACAGAAATTAGATTAGAGATGCCTAGGGAGGAGATGGGGGCAGGGGAAAGAGATGTGACTGATTGCTAATGGGTACAGAGTTTCTTTTTTGAGGTGATAAAAATAATGTTCTAAAATAGATTGTTGTGATAATTGCATAACTGTGAATTTGCTAAAAACCACTGAATTGTGCATTTATTAATAGGTGAATTGCACGCTCTGTAGTTTATATCTTTATATATGTGCGTAGGTATGTGTGTATGTGTGTATTTTTTAATTCCAAAAAATTCACTGGATTTTAAAACTCGTGACCCTCAAAAAAAATTTAATCCAAATCGTTCATGGTATGGACAAGGTAACTGAGGCTAAGCTAAATTAAGTGGCTTGTTTTTGACACATTGAAAATACTCAAATATTTAGTGACTAATTCTAAACTAAAAGAGAAGTTGAAAACACCATCAATGTCGCTCCAAATTAAAATTCTGTATAAATGACAACTACTTGCTAATTTAAATAATCTCTTATTTTACCAAAAACTGTTATTACAAGAATAGTTCTTCTTATGGTTCCTTGAGTTCAAAGTTTAGTTTATGTATTTTAAATTGTCTTGTTTTCTTAATATACTCATTCAAAGCTATAAATTTGCCTATGAGGATCTGTTTGGTTGTATTCTACAAGTTTTAATACACAGTAAGCCTAATGTCATTTACTTTATATTTTCTATTCATTTATATTTTCATTTTTAATCTCGTTTTAAAGGATATCTTTTCAATTTCTATGTAGATGGAGCTTTTTGGCAATCTATCATTGTGAATGTTGAAGGCCTATGAAAAATGATGTTTTACACTGTGTTTAGATTTTCTTCTGTGGGAGGCAGGTAGGGCAAACTAGACCCAGAGGCCCATAGTTTTCCAATAAGCCAGAGAACATGGATGTGTGGGTGGGATGATACAGTGGTAGGATAAAGGACAGTGAGTTCACTTTAAGGTTTAAGTAAGCAAATTAATTTTCCTATAGCAAACATATTGGTATAACTTAGGAACAAACACACACTTTTAATGCATAGTTTATAAATTCAAGAGATCATATTAATATAACTGTAATCTTGATTTCTCTCATTAATTATTGATAAATATAGAGAAAATCTTGCAACTAAAATAATAAAATATAAATGGTTTATCTCACAAAAACCTTTCCCTCATCTGACTTCTTCTTTACAGTATTTCTGTGGTTGCCAGAAAATGCACTACCAAGAAAGGTAATAACTGTCCCAGAATCACGGATTTCATAAGGTTTATCATTACATACAACTTGAACTTACATTTTCATGCTAAAAAATCAAAACCTATAATTTTTAATTACTATGGTGTAGTACATAGTAAAGGTCTGTGAATGTTCCACTTCCGTTGAGTGCAACATGACCACTTAGTGTGCATTTACTGTATGTCTGACATTGTTTTAAGTGCTTTAAGTTACTACTAACTCATCGACAATCCTTTGTGGTATTATTATTATTATTATTTTTATTTCCATTTTACAGATGAGGAAACTGAGATCGAGGTTAAGCAACTTGCCTAAGGTCACATAGCTAGAAAGTGGTGGAACCGTGATTCAAAGCTGGGTAGTCTGGCTGCAGCCTCCATCTACTAAGTCATGTAAAAAGCGCACCTCTTTATGAAACTCAGGTACATTATTGCTGATAAACAAAGTGACAGAAATAACTTAAAGACAATTGAGTGTAAAGAATCAAATTATGACAGTTAATGTCTTCATAATAACTATTTCCTATTTAAAAGTATTAACTCCAAAATTACAACAAAGACATATGGAAATTTATATGTGGGTAAAACACATATATACATATTAAATTCAATTACTTAAAAATCATCCTATTTTTAAATAGACTCCCGCAATTATTACAAAGTAATTTATTGAGCTTATTCTAAGATTTATCAGCCTCCTACTTCTGTTATGAATTTTATTGTAAGCTTCAGAGGAGTCTGCAAAGCCATTCTGTTTATGCAAAATAAGGCTCTGCTGTGGACATTTTAAAATTAAACTAGTACGTTACAAATGCTTTCAGTTCAATTATAATATTTTAGTGGCCTCACTTGACAAATAACATCTTAGCTTAGTAGTAATACATATAAAACACCTTACCTTTGAGAATCCAAGTTCCACAAATAATCTGTCAGCTACAAACTCAATATACTGTTTCATCAAAACACAGTTCATTCCAATGAGGCCAACTGGCAAGGCTTCTGTTAAAAACTCCTGAGATAAAAACAAAAACAGAATATAGTACAAAGACAGAAAAAGAAATAAGTATCTTCCAAATGAAAAGAGGGTTTTAGTTTCATTAATCTTCTAAGTCACTAATCTTGTCCAAGGAAAGTACATTGGGTTAAATTCTTTCAACATGGCAAACAGCATCTATTTGTATACAACTGTTTGGGGTATCTCCTGTTTACATTCTTTCACATTCTCAAGCAGCTAAAATAAATTGAAAATAATGATCAAATTACTGTTTTATTTTTAAAGTAGCACATGTAAGACCTGAATACGCTTTTTCAATAGAAAGAAAGGAGATACTTTGTTCTGAAATCTCTAGAAAAAGATTTACCAAAGATGTTCATTGTGGGGGACATGATTATGGAAGGGTGTTGCAAAAAAGGAAAACTACAATTAACAAAGAAAATGAGATATTTCTTTCTATTTCTTGGATTGGATTTGAGGGTTGGGAGATAAACTGAACTCCAACTATATTGAAAGACAGTGGTAAAGTGTTAATAGAGGAAAAATAAACCATTAATCATCTGGATTTAGTTCTCAAAATGACCAAAATGTATTTTATGCCTTTTCCCCCTCCCAATATGAAAAGTATGGCTGTTAGACTATGCAATACTAAAATTTTTTTAAATTTGTTCTACTTTTAAACTAGTTCTTTCAAATGACAAAAACACTCAATGGAGCAGTCAGATAATTTTAGTCATATATCATTACACGCTATAAATTAAGTTTCACTACTAATTCATTTTTTTATTCATTCTATAAGCACCTGGTGCATGCTTCAAGCTGGACACCCCGCTAGGTTCTTGACAATACAAAGTAAGCAAGAAAGCATCACTGCCCTCCAGTAGCTGACAATCTAAAATATAAAACTAAAATAATTAAATTGTTTGTTATAGTATAAAATTTGACAGGTCAATGAGACAGACAAACCAGTCCTTAATGGACTTTATATACATAAAACCTTAATATATAATCCTTACTTACAAACCAAAGTATAAAGTGACATAAGAACTGAAATACATTATCTATTAGTACTGTCAGATTGACCATATAAAATTGCTGATATTTATTTTGACCTACAAAATAGTAGTTCCATTTGATTCAATCTAATAATATAATGGTACAGACTTCAGAGAGAGATGGTGTGAATTATATAAGCTTCCCTGCTTACCTGCTCAATTTCAACAGCATTAACAATGATCTCCCTGACCCTTTTTTCTGAAGGTTTGTTTACTAAGTATTGAAACATGAGGCAAGCAAAGTCACAGTGAAGCCCCTAAAACAGGAGAAAAATACCAATGTCAAAAAAATGTTTAATAGCTATTTTTGCACAGTTATGTGTCAGGCATCATACAGAGTAGGTTCTAGGAATGCAACACGTAACCTCTGGAAGACAGAAGGATTAGAAGGGCCAGGAATTTCTTCAAATCTCATTAAAATGCCAATTATAATAATTTGTAGTGAAAGTATTTCAGTGCCAGCAAATCTTAATCAACATGGAAGAGGAATTAATTAACAACAATAGAAATCCAAAAGCATTTTTGAAAGGAAAAACAAAGAGCTAAAATAAAAATTCATTCATTTTTAATGTCTAAAAAAAATTAAGAAATGATGGGATGGAAGTTAGCAACCCTCAATGAGATAGGGAAAACAGAAGGAAGAATTTATCCCATTGTCTTGGGATAAACACAATGAGTTTGATTTCTCCTTCCAAGAGAAACCATCTAATATGCACTTGAATACACAGGTTTGGAGCTCAGGAAAGAATATATGGACTAAAAATAAAGTTTTGGTTGTTGTGAGCATCTGGACAGTAACCAATTCCATGGAAATAAATAAGATCAGCCAGGAAGTCATATACAGTGAAAGAAAGGGGCCACGAAGGGAACCTATAGTACAGTATTTAAAGATGAGCAGAAGAGACTAAGAAACAGTAAGAGGCAGGAGGGAAAAAGCAGTGTCTTAAAAGCCAGGGAAGAAATGATTTGTATTTTCTTTTACCAGTAATTACCAGGATCCTGTGTCACACACATTTTCCAGAGGAAAGAAAAATAAATGAACACCAAATATTAACATAAATATAACTAGGAAAATACTTCATTTCTTACTTCATCTCTGCTGATGAGTTCATTGGAAAAGGTGAGTCCAGGCATAAGACCTCTTTTCTTTAACCAGAATATTGCAGCAAAAGATCCCGAGAAGAAAATTCCTTCTACAGCAGCAAAGGCCACTATCCTTTCCCCTAGGAGACAAAAAATAGTTTCATTTTCTGAAATATCATATACTGCAGACATTTTTAAGATACAGATATACACACACACACACACACACACACACACATACTTATATATATATACACACACATACTTTTATATGTTTTATAACAATACCACAGCTATTCTGCCAAGAAATAAAATCAACAACTTAGTATAATAGCCAAGGGTCTTCAGTGGAAGAAATCTGTTACCTCTACCCACTAGAGCAAAAAGGTTCAAATCTTATGGCAGACAGTGAACTCCTATAAGTCTTGGTATGTAGACAAAGGAGAGCCTTCCATAATTGGAAAAAAAAAAAAAAAAGAGGTGATTTATCTGTGTGTCTCAGAGTATGGGGGGCGGGGGGGGGTGGGAGAGAGAGAGAGAGAGAGAGAGAGAGAGAGTGTGTGTGTGTGTGTGTGTGTGTGTGTGTGTGTTTCAGAGTGGAGAGCAGAAGACAGCTTTTATAACAAATGTCTCCCTCTTTGTGGCTGGGAGGAGGGAGGTCACTGAGGTTTATATTTTAGAAATATCTTAGGTTAGCTGTAGACATTTCAAAAATCATTGCCCTGCATCTACAATTAAAGAAAAACAGATAAATCCAGCTAAAGATTACACATACATCTGTCAGATAAAATGCCCCATAATATAAGAAAAATAAACATATAAGGCCCAATTCCAAAGGTTACTTACTGTTAGGAAGGGGTTTTGCAGAAGCCCATTTCCTAAAATGAAAATGTTGCTGTATATCTGCAACACTATCTTTAGGGGGTGATTATAGATCTAACCCAAAAAAAGATCATTCTCAAACCCCTTATGCCACAACACTGCATGTTCGGGAGAAATATTTATATATCTGTCTGTCTAGGGAGAAAAGTTTATTTAGTCTATAAGACTGTGAAAGGCAGCCAAGTAATTGGACCAGCTACAGACCTGTTTCACAGATGGCATCATAGCTTCAACACAGTACTTGTTGCGCAACCAAAAACACAATTAACAGGCACTTAATAAATATGTCCTGATCTGAAACAATGGAAACTATATAAGCACTAGATCAGTGATTTTCAACCTTTTTCTGTCATGGCACATGTAAACTAATTACTAAAATTCGGTGGTACCAAAAAGTATATTTTTTACCAATCTGACAAAAAAATAGGTGTAATTTTGATTCATTCACACTGGACTGCTATTGCTGAGTTGGCTGTTGTCAATTTGACATCCTAAGAAAAAAAGAGGTCAGTGCCCCTGACTAGTCAGGTACTGCATATTTTAAAAATTCTTGTGGCACACCAGTTGAAAATCATTGTACTTGATGATAAAAGCATCAGAGAAATTGCTATAACTTGATGCAGAAATTGAATAAATATTTATAACTTCTCAAACAAAGGTGATTATAATATTTAATTTCAAAAAGAGGATGATTAAGTTTAAGTATGTCTGGCTGTCTCTAAATAGTGCTCTGGTTTGTCCGTGTTCTTTTCCCTGATTATCATAAACAAATCAAATCAGAGCAATTATAGCAAATATTTATCTATTATTAGCCCAAAACACCAGAAAAGCTTTTATAATATTTTATTTTTATAGGCACAATTTAAACAGTTACTTTGAAAAAAATAGCAGAAAAAAATAAGAATTAAGTACTTGAGTACATACTATGTAGAAGAAATTACCAAGACTCTCTAGTATAGTATATATTAAATATACTAAAATTATATCTTAAAATATATAATAATAATAATCACTACACTCTCGTAACCCTTTTGAATACAAAAATGGCTCTTCAGACTAGTTATACTTTTAAGATGGAGATTTATCATTAGTTTAACATATAGATTACTGCTATATTTTCATTTTACTATTAATAAGATAATGAATAGTTATAACTGATACACTTTTCACTGACATAAAGGTGATGTCATGTGGACATTTATCTGTTTATATGTAAATGAATGAGACTATAATTTAATACAAACACTGTGAACAAGAGAAATGTTATTTTAACTATTCTGTGCATTCATGTGAATGCTAAAGAATGAAAATCGTAACAGATATATAGAAGACTATTCTTTTTAGAAAGCACTGAAGGATTTATCCCTTAAAAGGGGTAAGTTTTACATATTTTCATGAATGAATGTAAACTAAAAAGAGATCTCCAAAACATTTCTTCTAAAAGCTATATCGAATGTGAAGGCCTCATGATCTGTTTTAGAGATAGGAAAGTAGGACCTATTTTAACGGTGCGCTGACCTCAATGAAGTCATCACTAAGACATGCTTTTTGATGTTTGAAATGAAATTTCATTATATATATTAAGGCTGAATCTATATATTAAATATTTCAAAGTTCTTTAAAGATATTTTTAAAATTAAGCAGCATATCTTAGTTTTTAAAAAAACTAAACAGATGTACACTTAAGAATTTTTAGCTCTACAGGAACTGAATCTACTTATAACATATCAATTTTCAAACAACCTAACACTTTTTTAAGAAACACTCTTAGGTTCTCTTTAGCTAAAAGTCAGCAGAGTCTAAATGTGAGAAAAGAACAGCTGCTCTACTGGGTCCCACCAGGTGCAGAAGTCATCAAGGTCACCTAAATCATTAGTAAAGCCCAAAGCCAGCATCATCAACCTAAAGGCACTAATGGTGCAGGTGGCACAATTAGTTCATATAACGGCACTTCCCCAGCTGGTTAACCATAAATGCACTTGTTTGGTGAAGCGAGACATTTTCATGTTATTGCTTTTAGCTCCTCTCCCAAAGAAGAGGGCCATCAATGCATTCTTCACCTTTTTCTCTTCCCACCACACATTCCACTCCCTCAGCACCAATTCAGACCACGTTCTTTTATCTGAGACCCTGACTCAGAACCCTAAATGGAGTTTGCGTTGAGAGTGAGCAATATGAAAAATTTAAATGAAGCCTCTGATGCACATGGTGACTGCCACCCTCCTCTATTTTATTTCCAGGTTGCTTTCCTTGGTAGTGTCATGAAACACGTGCTTTCTGTGAGCCTGTTCTTCATTTATTTATCCATCAGTACCTATCCAGCCAAATATTTTCAGGGCATACTAAACATCTTGGAGTTTCCCTTCTTTTTTTTCCTCTAAAGCCAATGTTTCTCAAAATGTTTCTCGAACCACCTGAATCACCAGAGTTGGAGAGAATAAACTAGGTATAAAATGCAGGTTCCTTAGTTCCATCTGGACTTCCTACATCACTCAAGAGTTTTTCCACAAATCCTCAGGTGAGAATTATGCACATTGAAAATCAGTGCTTTTTTCATTCTCAAAATAAACTGTAGGCAACACAGATATATCTGTTTCTTCCCAGATATACTATAAGCTTGCCATACCTTATACTATATCACTGGTTCTCAATGTGTGATTCAGAAGTCCCTGTAAACTCACAAACCAAGGAGGTCAAAACTGTGGGGTCAAAACTATTTTCATTATAATACTAAGGCACTGTTTGTTTGTTTATTTACTACCATTCTCTCTCGAGTACATAGTGGTGTTTTCCAGATGCTACATGGCATTTCCATAATAATCTGAAAAGCCTGGTAAAATACTCTTCCCTTTTCTCACTACATGACTGAATGAGGGTGGATTTTCTTTGTATAATTTAACTAAAACAACATTCTGCAGAACTCAGAAGCAGATACAAGTGAGCTGTCTTCTATTCAGTCAGACATTTAAAAGATTTGCAAAAATTAAAAACTATGTCATTCTTCTAATTTTTTTGGAAAAATACAGTGTTTCTCCCATAAATGTATGTTAAAATCTAACAGGTTACTCTCATTTAAAATGCATTAATAAATATCTTTGAATTTTCTTGGTTTTAATGTATAATATGGAAATATCAATAACCCACACAAATAAAAGCACTTTGGGGTCCTCATAATTTTTAAGAGTACAAAGGTGTCCTGAAACCAAAAATTTTGAGACCTGCTTCCTACCACTTGAATAAATCCAGAAAGTAAAGACCATCAATTATAAAATAGCTAAGAATGAGACAGATACTTGAGTTAGTAAAACGAATTATCTGAATATTTTAATTAAATTTTAAAGATTTACTGAGCAACTACTATGTATAAGATGCAATGTTAATCACTCCCTTAAAAAAAGTTATTAGATCTCAACTCATCCAGAAGGGTGAAAAATGAGCCTGTTCTTGTACTAATCTTTAGTTTTTCAGAAACTACATATTTGTTCCCTGAAAAATGTAAAGATTTTCACTTGCTTTAAATTCCTAAAATAAACATTTGTGAAAGCAGATATAAACTGTGGATTGCTTTAAGACTCTTGTGAGATTCTGTGTAACTGATTTATTTACGTGTTATTATGCACTGACATCTTGACCTTTCAGCTTTCAGTTTATTAAATAGAATAAATACAGTTTTAGATTATTTTAATTATGGTTTCTAATCAATTATTAGAAAGAATGATCCTACTAAAGGTACATATTAAGACTTTGAGATAGTCACACCAGGCAAATTTGATATATATAAATTAAAGCTACATACCAAAAGTAGATTTTCTATCTGCTATCCACCTCAAGGCCCAATCTGCTTTTTTCTTAACATATGGCATTGTTTCAATTGCATTAAATAAAAATTCCCTGTCAAAACAAAAGAATTAATGGCAAAGTTATTTATTTGTTTTTCTTAATCAAAATAAATTTTCGCTGGCTATTCAGAGATAATATTGCAACTCCATGATTTACTATCAGATCTGTAATTTTTCTGTATTTTTGCATGTCCATAAAATATAGATATTAAAGTAAAATTCAAATTAGCAGTTTGGATCTGATCTGATACAAAATTGACTAAATTCAAATATTCAATTGCAAAACAGAAAGTGTTCCACAGATTAACAGTTTCTACACAAATTCCTTTTTTTTAAACGAACACATTATTGAGCAATAGAAAACATTATACTCCAAAATGTCCATATTTGAATAATATTTCCTTAACATTTAGTTTTGGAGTAAATTTCGCTCTTAATATAACCAAACAATAGGATAAACCTTTGTAAAAATCGCAGCAGTGATACCTTTTCTTGGGATCTCTGATGTAAGTGTCTATTAGCAAACTGTACATCTCTGAGTGAACATTCTCGATGAGAATTTGAAAGCCATAAAAACAGCGAGCTTCTGGAACCTGCACCTCCTGACTAAATCGCTCCACCTATAAATATAAGGGAAAGAAATATATCCAATTCTGCAGGTTTTCATAAAACACCATAAATCAAAAATCTGGACATCAGAACTGTCACTTAAAAATTGCCTGTCATGTCACAAACAGATCAGAAAGACCTTATGGATGATTTTAAACAGTATTGTTTACTCATCAATCCTCTACAATAAATTACTTGCATAATGTATTGTTAAGGAATTAAATGAGTTGGCCTGTTAGGCAGAGAAACTGACTATAAATTATAGAAGATCTAACAAAAAATAATGATTGTACTTTGTAGAACTGACCTTATGTCATTTTGTTTTTCTGACTGTAGACAGTAAATCTACTGAAGCCCCTTCCAGTTCATGATGAAAGTTCATAGCTTTCTCTTCTCTTTAACAAGAAAGTATGCCCCCTGGCCACCGTAATACAAGTTTAAAAATGAGGAACCAGAGCTGAGCACTATTACAGAGCTCCAGAAGGATTAAGGTGCAGGTTCTTTATTAGGATTCATATCTAAGGGTGAAAATCAAACTCATGTTTATGCATTTTAAGTGATTTTGATTGGTACTCTATTCCTGATTTAATGATATTTTGCTGATCAAACAATAGAAAGGTACCATTTCCTCTGACACTTCGTCAGAAAAACATATTCAAGAAATAAGCTTCATCTAGCTTATTTCCTAGACCTAAGTTTTTAGGTTTAGTCTAATTATCTTACTGCCATTATCATCATTTAGCTGCTAAATGGAAACAAAAGTTAAAAAAAATAATCTTACCAAATTTTCATTTACAATTCCATCACTGGCTGCAAAAAAGGCTAAGATATGAGAAATAAAATACTTCTCATCTGGTTTAAGCTTGTTCCAGTGAGGGAGGTCCTTTGATAAGTCAACCTAAAATAAAAAAGATTTTCAACATTTTTACTTGAAATTAAATTCTTCCCAAAATGTTTAGAAAACTAATGTTTATCTCAAAGGTAAGGAGGGACATCTCATTAACAGTAAAATGTTCAAAAAGGAGAAAAGATTAACATCACTGCTATAGACTGCATGTTTGTATTCACCCCCCAACCCTAATTCCTGTGCTGAAAACTAATTTCCAAGATGATGGTATTTAGAAGCGGAGCCTTTGGGGTGATTTGGTCACAGGAGTGGACACCCAGAGAACTCCACTGCCCTTTCTGCCATGTGAAGATACAGCAAGAGGAGAGCTGTCTATAAACCAGGAAGCAAGCCTTCCCCAGAGAGCAAAGCTACTGGCACCTTACTCTTAGAATTCCTAGCCTCCAGAACTATGAGAAATCAATCTCTATTGTTGATAAGCCATCTAGTCTAGGGTATTATTTACAGTAGCCCGAACCAAGGCAGTTACAAAGGAACACAATAAAATAAAAGCATTATAAAGGAATCTATCTTCTGGTAAATTGAGGAGCTGGCAACATGTACTTTCAAAATACTAAAATTAACATCATTTGTTCTCACCACATAAAAGAAATGGTAATGATGTGTCAGGTTACAGGTGTTAGTTAATGCTATAGTGGTAACAATTTTTTACAACATATGTATTGTATACAGTTGTATCAAATCAATATGTTGTACACCTCAAATTTACATGTCAATAATATCAATAAAACTGGGTGGAAATAATCTAGTGGCACCAAAACAAATGAGCAAAGGGCAAAGGCAGAAGAGAGACTAGAAGCTGGTCAAGAAGAAACTGAGGTGAATGAACTAATGATTTTCAGCAATCATTGCTTTAACCTTTTATAAAACATCCATTAAGCAGTTACAGCTGCTACTTTACTGCAGGCTAATACACTTTTATATCCAGAAGTAATGCGAGGCAGGTAACACACCTGGGTTTTAAAGCAATTTATAGGTATGTCTTCCTCTGAGAATAGAATTGTTTTTGAAAATGGTTATTAGAACCAGTCCTTGGAATGAACAGAGAGATGAACTCTAGAGTTTGGTGGAATCTACAATTCAATTATAGTCTTTGAATTAAGACTATTCAAAAGTAGTCTTTAAATGTACCTTGTAGATACCACTTTATCTCTGGAAGATCTCTGAAGTATGTTTCACAGTAACCTCATAAATATTGAAATATGTAATTCTCTTCTACAAAACCCTCATCTCTTTGACCATTCTAAAAAGGACTGGTTCATCCTTTTAATCATTTGTGTTCTTTTCTAAAATCCTTTCCCTCATTACTTTATCCTTTCAATGTTTACTGAGCAACTATTCCCAAACTTGAGGGGTTCATCACTTGGGATGTTCTGGTCAAGACTGAGAAGTAGGTCTCGTTAGGTATTCTTATTTACTTGTAATGTGCAAAGGAGACAGGGGATTCATACCCCAAGCTCTGCCTCTTGAAAGGGAGGCTTATATATAACACTGCTTATATACACTTTTTGGTTAATTACACATTGGTATCTTCTTTGCAGTTGGCTACACTGATTTTGCTGGTGCCGATCAAGATCATCCTCTTTACATCTGTGTCTGCAAAATACTGTGTTACACTTTACATTTAGCAAGAATAGCATTTAGTAAGAACTGCCCAGTCCTATGTAACACTACTACATAGCAAACACTGTGCTAAGCATTGGGGATACAATAGGGCAGGAAGGGGGATATATTTGTAATATCTTTTAAAATATGCAAGCTAAAAATCAGGTCCTATATCATTTAGAACTCACCTGAAGTTCAACTGAAGGACATCGTCCTGGTTTTTAGGTATTATACTCCTGATATTAAATTTTAATACTACAATATGTTCACTCTTACAATTAAACTAATCCCTTCGAACATTCAGCTTTCAAAAAGTCCTATAAATTTTATTTATACTACATTGGTTATTTTCCATTCCCAACATAAACCTTTCCGTCCAGCTTTATCTTATTTGAATAAATTCTCCAATTTACCATCTAAATATTGATTCCAAACTACTTATCAGAATTCCCTGGGTAGCTTTAAAAAAAACAAAAACAAATCCCAGAACTTTGACTTTTGAGTCAAGGTTCCTGATGATCAGCCATATTTAGGACTAAAGCTAAACCACTGATAAAACAGTAAGGTCTAAAGCTGATAAATTATAACTGACAAATTTGTTTATATGAACAATATGTGGAACTAAATGTGTTTGGCTTCCCTTCAAAATATGTATTTGAATCTTCCTATAAGCTGCTTCAAAATAGGTATCAACCTGCATATTACAGGGTGGGGCAAAAGTAGGTTTATAATTGTTCACTTGGAATATAATACAATAATAAATAATAATACAAGAATAAACCTTGTGTTTCATGTACTCACAACTGAAAACCTACCTTTGTCCCACCCTGTATAATTTTTCAAATTAGTGTTTCTTAGTCATAATACAACATATATCAGATTTGCTAAAAAATGCATATAATTTTCAAATGAATTTCAAGAAACCCAAGCGTCATACGTACCTTTTTGACATGATAAATGAAAAAGCTACCTATATACTCCCTTTATTCTCTCATCTATATCTAACAAAAACCTTTCTAAAAACCACAGATGCCCTGGCTGGTGTGGCTCAGTGGAAAGGTCTCTGGTTCAACTCCCAATCAGGACACATGCCTAGGTTGTGGGTCAGGTTCCCAGTTGGGGACATGAGAAAAGCAACTGATAGATGTTTCTCTCTCACATTGATTGATTCTCTCCCTCTCTTTTCCCTCCCTTGCCCTCTCTCTAAAAATATATTTTAAAAATCTAAAAAAAAACCACAGACAGTTAGTGACAGCCAGGTGTACCAAGCACTATGACCCAATTTGGAAATGCTGGCGATTTGTTTTGTTTTGCTCTATATGTTAAATACAACAAAGATGTTCACAATATAACAATGCAATATAACAAAGTTGGATAAATGGGTAAAATGCATAATAGAAGCTTCAAAAATTTGTGCTTCTAATTTCTAGGGCAAATTTCCCCCATTCTGGATAAAATAATAGCTTACATTTATTTGGTTCTTCTAAGTGCCAAATAACATTCTAATTATGTCCTTAATCTCATTAACAAGATTTATCTCATTAATCCTCATAACAATCCAATGAACCAAGCACTGTTAGTTCAATGTACTGATGAGATTACACGAAGAGGTTAAGCACCTTTTGCAGTTGCACAGTAAGTGGCAGAGCCAGGATTTGTGCCTAGGCAGCTAGCTCCAGAGCCTGTATTCTTAGCAGCATGCATTTACATGTATAGAATCAATCTCAAGAAAAAATAGACAGACATACAGGCCTAAATATACAGAGAGAGAGAGAGAGAGAGAGAGAGAAATACTCACACAGAGAGCAAGAGCGCAATGTAGGTATCACCCATCATATTAAAAAATGAAGACAATGGCTATCTGTGTTCAGTTAGACTACAGGGCAACAAGTTACATGACAAATGTTCTTACCAAACCAGCAAGTATTTTCTTATTTGTTGAGTTCAAGTCATTTCCTAGGTGGAAGATGCCACACTAACAGAAAACATTCTACAAACATCCTGTCTGTTGGGGCAGCTGTGCCAGGTTTGATGTGGCTGAGGGCAGGGCCAGACTTGGGGGAGCTCAGAAGTGAGTGCACTGCCCAGGGGTCAGCCTCTTCATGTAACAGCTCCTTCTGTACAATCTCAATTGCGAGCAGTGTTCCTAAGGCTTTCACTTTCATTTTATGGCTATAGCTACAATTTCACTTATTCTGCTGACAATAAGTAAAGATTAGTTTCATTTAGTCACAGCAAACCAAAAGTCTGTTTACAAACAGAAAATGTCCTAAAATATATTGGAAGTAAAAATATGGCAGACTGAGATGTCATTTTTGTGGTGGAGAAACATGTTTATAGACATTAGTCTAAACATCAAACATTGGCAAACACTGTATTTAATCTCAGTAACTTCAAACATTATCTTATACAGGCAATCTTATTCAATGTATCTCACAATATGTTAAAATTCTTTAATGTTCTGTAACAGAAAATATGAACACTGCTCTACAGAACACAATTGCTGATGAAGGTGATACCACTTACCTCTTCCGCTGTCCAGAAGGACGCCTGTGCCTGTTTATACATTTTCCAAATATCAGGGTACTGGATAGGAAAAATGACAAACCGGCGAGAACTCTTCCTTAGGAGCGGTTCTTCATCGGACTTTGCTTCATTTTCTTTGGAATCTGAAGACAACCGCTTTGAAAATTAAAGTAAAAACACCCATTTTATGTAGACATTTCCTCTTCATTCATATCTAAACACACATCTGGGGGTGGTTAGGGAAACAGCATACGTCTGGGAGCCAGTCTGCATGAATCCTTACTCTTATCTGCTAGCTGATGAATAGTGTTTGGTTAGTTGTGTAACTTCTCTGAGCTCAATATCCATATCAGTAAAATAATACCTACCTTATAGGTGATCATCAAATTAATTTTGATGAGTAAAAGTGCTTTAAACATGGCACATAATAAACACTGAACAAATTATTGTCATTAATGCTACTTTGAGGGTAAACACAAAATTCAACCCATAAATGTCACAGTGGGAAAATTTCTAAGTTTATGAATAAAAAGTCCCCTTTGTTCCTCTCTCAGACAGAATACTGGCGCAAATAAGCTACTGTTAAAACCTTTTTTTCTTTTTAGTTTAATGTGTTCTTTTCTAATCTTAACTGAAATATAATAATACTTATCTGAAAATTCTATACCAACAGAGGCTTTGTTTCTCTGAAGCTGACCATGGACGAATTTGTTACTGCTGTCTACATGTTAACATTACTGTATATGGTCTCACTGTGGGCTGTCTCAAAGCTTTGTGGAATAAAGTGAGAAACACGTAGCTACATACCTACTACTGGACAACATGATGGTACTGTCACAGGGAACAGTGCCAATTTTTTTTAAAATACTCATTAAGAGCATCAGAAGAGTTACATGTACATGGGAATGAGTATATACCCATAGGCTAAAACATATAAATCAAGGTGACTGAGATTTGTTTCCCTGTATTCCTGCATCCTTACCATTGCCTCCACCAAACCTCATGCTAACGTGGATAAAACTTAGAGGCAAGGCCAGATGACAGAAAGGCCTACAATCGAAGCTTGAGGCCACGCAAACACAGGTGGGGTTTACACATTTCACACATGCTGACTGTCTTATTTGGTAACTATTTATATTGAAGACATGAGCCCCGCCAGCTACAGCACTTAAGCCTTGGAGCATAGAAAGTAGGTTTTATTTATTGTGATGTTCCCAGAGGACTGTGTCAAGCAAAATGTCAATAAGTATTAGCTAAGCAAGTGAATGGGCTGCTAATCTCTTTTTATCCTGAGCTCAGATTACTGGCCACTGTTAGAATGTTTTAATTTAACATAAGGCCACAATACATGAGTGAAATAATCTAATGACCACTCAAATCAAGCCTTCTCTGAGTGCAAAAGTTTAGTTTGAATTAACTCTCCCCACCAACACAAGCCACAACAAGAATAAAAAGTTGCAAACACAAGTCTTTAAAAAGTCAATTTGGTCAATAAAAAAGATAGTGGGTTCAGTTTCGAGATATCCAGTTGATAGTTGAAAATATAACACTATGGTAGGCAGAGGCGCTGTCTCCACTCCCTCCCTAAAGATGCCATCAGTAGTCACCAAGGGGAGGGTTGTGATTATCCAGGGACATCATATAGAGCAGCAGCAGCACGACTGAGGATGAAGCCTAGAGAAAGGGCAGATGGAAGAACAGGAGACAGCTGAGATTAAAAATGACTGAAGTGGGTGTAAAGCAAAGGCAGAAGTGATCTGGGTTGGCTAAAGTAAAGGGTCAACAGGTGAGACAGGGAGGAATTTGGAACAGGATCCACACTCTGGATATCAAACTAAGAGGTTAGGAATTGTATAGGCCAAAGATTTTCAGACATCTAGTGGGAGGCTCATACTCTAATTTCTCCACACTTGCTCCCAACCTCCAGGTGCTGGCATTCATTGTATGGCATAATTTGAAAATCATTTCTATGGATAGTCATAGAAAGTTCCTGATTAGAAATTAATGTGAATAACGATGGCATTAGGAAGATTAATCAGATATCCATGAATTAGAAAAGAAAAAAAAGTGCTAGATTTTGGTAGTAACTACTATGTCAAGTCAGAAGTAGAAATGACAACCTGAATCAACCTTAAGATACAGCAGCATGAAAAAGCGGCTTGAACAGGAGTTTGCCAGTCTGAGGAGTTGGGCTTTTTTTGGTGGGAATTGAGCCCCTTTTGGCAGTTTTTATTTGGACAGAGTGACACAGAGGCACTGTTTTAATGATGGATTAATTTGGCAGTGGTAAACAGGATAAGAGAGCAAGTAATACTGCAAGTAGAAAGACAACTAAGTTGTAGCTGCACAGTTGTAAAGTGATGAGAATCTGAAATAAAGTTTCACTGAGGCATTTCTTGGCAACATCCCACTGTCTCTTCTGGAATAGAGCCTCTAGTTACTACCTGCCTCAGTTTGTGGTCACCTGGTCCCCAGAGGTGCCTGGACATGTTAGCACACCCATCTAAGTCAAGAATATCTGGCTAGCACTCACCAGGCCCTGACCTAGGATGGCATTCTACTATGCCCCTCCCTTCCATCTACTCAAATTTCACCACTTTCATTTGCCTTCACCTCTCTTCTATTCCTCAGGTGAAGTAGAATATTTGGATACTGTCATAGTTATACACTAGTTGTAGGTATCATTTTAATTCTTCTATTCCCATGAAATCTGACAAAACAGATGGAATATTAGCCCAGGATCAAGTACTTGGTTTTAACCCTAGTTCTACTACTGAGCTATGTGGTCTTGGGCACGTCACTTAATCTGCTCTGGCCTAAACTTCCTTACTTTAAAAACAAGAGACTATCAATTAGATTAATGATAATTAGCTTTGAGAAATTAATGAAAACTATGGACCCCTTTTTTTAGGAGATTCACATCTATGCATGAAAAATCTTCAGGAGATTTATAAACGCTTTAAGACAGTGTTCTTAAAAATATGAGTGCCAGGATGACCTGAAGTGCTTGTTAAAAATGCAGTCCCAGACCCATCTCAAGAGATTCTGATTCACTGTCCAAATTGATTACTGGATGTAGGCCCAATAATTTACATTTTTTCAAAGTACTCCAGGTGATTCTGATGCAGGTGGCCCATGAAGCACCATCAAATCTAAAAAACAAAGTACTTGAAGCATCCTTCCATCTCAAGTTTAAAACTTTCAGAACAGATGCTCACTAAAATTCATTCTAGACCTAAAGTTTGCCCTCTGTCTTAGTGGGTGTGTATCACTGAGATAGGGATAATAAATAAAAGTTAGCTTCCAGGCCTTAAGCCTGAATGACTGCTGGTGCCATTATCACAAAAGGAAAAATCTGAGTTGTCTCATTCAAGTGGCGAAATCAGTACTAAATGTATTTGTTTCAAAATGGGAAGAAAAACGTTGAGGGATGTTTACAATTTGTGGATTAGTTACTAAATGTTTATAAAATCAAAATAAAATAAAATCACAAATCTGGAATCTACAACTTTCTAAAGAAATGGAGAGCTAAGCATGTCTCTGTGAGATGAAATTCTATTAAGTCAAAGAAACCACACAGTAACAGGTTCAAAGGAAACACAAATGGCTTAGTATTTGCAAAATAACAGGGTATGAAAATTATAGAGCAACAATTTAAACTACTCTACGACACTCCAGTCTAATAAATCCCGGTGTCTTTACAGTTATGTACTTTTGTTAATACGGAAGCAGAGAGGATGAACATGCTATCTTAGGTTTTATGAAGCATCCACAAGTTCTGCAGTACTTTAAAATATTTTACGTCATCCTCTATGAGGCTGGTATCACGTCCACTGTATAAATGAAAAAAGTGACGCCCCAAAGAGTCACAGCTAGTTACGTAACCTGGTCTGAGAAAAACTGGCGTCCAGAACTGATTGCTTTGATTGTTAAGAAGATTTCTGGTCGCCCTTCTACCGATCATCTCCACCCCCCTCCCCCCGTGTGTCAATTTCCACAGGCGTCCTCCAGTTTCTTTGAATCATCCCAGAGAGGACACGCATTTCTCCAGTAAGTCCACTAGCCCTCGTTCCTTGCCTCAGTTTCCCCGGCCAGGGCTCCAGAAAAGGGAAGGATGGGAGGAGAGTAAAAGAGGGGGTGCGGCTCGCCCCGGCCTGAAGCCCCAGAGCGTTGCCTTTGGCCCCGGTGCAGAGCAGTGGAGCAAGAAACCCGGCTTCTACCTCACCCGTCCCGGGGGACGGCCTCTTGGGCACTTGAAACCAGGCTCTGGCCATGGCTCCAGGCCGGGCCTGTACGGGGTTTCAACCGGCAAGGGGGGAATTTTCCTACAGCGGTCCTGCACCCTGCAACTCCCCGCTGCAACCTTCAGTCTAGAAGCCCGACTGACCGTGGGACCAAGGAAAAAGCAGCGGCAGCGTTTACCTCATCCAGCTCTGGCCTGGCCTCTTCCGGCCTCTCGGGGTCGCCCATCGCGCAGACTCCGCCAGAGCTACGGGAGCTGAGGGAACCAAGCGCTGCAAGCCACCTCTGACTAGGACTGGACCCAGGTGGCCCCTAGGGCTGCTGAACACACCCGCTCCCTGCAACTGCAGAGACCCCTCCCACGCCGGCCGGCCCCGCCTCGCCCCACTGCACCGCCCCTGCTTTCCCGTCTTCCCAGTGAGGGACTCCAGCTGCGTAGGCCCGGCCCTTGCCTCAGGGACTCGCCTACTTTGGCTGACCCCGCCCCATTCTAGTGCCCCGGCCCCGCCTCCTTCCTACCCAGTAAAGATTCGCCCTGCGCCTGCCAGCCCCGCCTACGCTGGCTGGCCCCGCCCCATCCCTTGCGCCGGCCCCACCTCCCGCCTTCCCTGCTGCGAGCTCGCCGGAGCTAGTCAGGCCTCGCTTCTCGCCTGCGGCCTGAGCTACTCGGCCTGCGGTTTTCGGCCCCGCCTTCCTTGGCAACTTCAGGCTCCACTGCCCTGCTACGGACCGGAGGTGCCCGTCATGCCAGGTCACCTCTCCAGGTCGCGATTCCCCAGCAGCTCTTGCGGTGCCTCAGGAACACGGTATGTCGCTCTAACTCGGCCTGTCCCGAGAGACTGCCAGGTGGCCGTACGACAACACACCCGATGAGATGATAAGGAGAAAGCGCTATCCCTGTGCGAAGTGGTGGCAGGGAAAGCCACACTCTTGGTCGGGGGCGAAAAAATGCCACACCGTCAACAAATTAACGAAAAGGGAACACTGCCTTGTTTTGTATTTAGGCGTTCGAAAAGAAGTGGTCCAGGCGAAAGTGTGCGTGTGCGCGGAGCAGGTGGGGAGTGCGAGTGAGAGGGGGAAAAATAACTCAGTTTAGGAAAACAGTGTGAAAACTCTGAAATTGTTTCAACAAACTGAGCTTTTCGTAATGTTGATTGAGCTCCTACAAAGTGTCAAGCGCCAGCCTAAGCACTTTATACAAATTAAGTCATTTAATTGTCAGTACCTCTCTGACATAGCGATAGCAACGTCCGTCCTGTTGCCGATGAAGAAACTGAGACTCAGGATAAATAAGATTATTCACCTAGGAAGTGGTCGACTGCACAGTCTCCTTGCCAAGTGCTCTTTACAAGGACAAAAGTTCAAGTCGTGAAGAGAAGAAATTCTCCCCTGAAACAGCTGTAGGCAGTGGCTACTGATGATCACAATAATTTGGTTGAATTACTAATACCCGTCTCTCGGGGGAACTATCTAAAGAAAACAACAACAGAAAGAAAAAAATAGTTTAGTCTAAAATGAGGTGAAAGATTTGTTTAGGTATCTTGAAACTGAAATATTAAGCCTTGAACAACATGCACCTGTCTTGTGGAGAGCTGTGTGAAGTGTGGTAAATAGGATAGAAAATTCAGCTTTGAAAATAACTGAAAACTCTTCTAAAACCTGCCCTAGAGTAGGGGGTGAGAGTTATCCTTTCTGAGGCAACTACCAGGGGTCAATTGTGGAGTAAAATTTTTACATATGTTACTTTTAAATAATAAAATAAATTATACGAGAAAACTGAGTTTTAAAGAAGTTAGAATTTGTGCTCTTAATTTATTTTCCATATGACCTATGATAAATGATCTGCCATTTAATTAGTCATCAAACCATATGTCTATGTCAGATAACATATTTGATATTGAAGATACAAAAATGAATGAGCTTAGTGAAAAAGAGTAATAATTTTAGAACCCTAACATGGGCATGAATTTGAGCTCCCTTGTTCATTAACTGTGCTACCTTGGACAAGTTACTTTGCCTCTTTTGAGACCGTTTCCTCATTTGTAGGATAAAAATAATAGTAATTCCTTCCCAATAAGATTGTTGTATGGATTCCATAATAAATACTTGTAAAGCACCTACTGGGGTGGGAAATTACTCTGCTTGCTTCTAAGTACACTACTAATCAGGCCATCACAGAGGTCATGGAACAGAAAGGTTCAGATCTAATTGGGTTGCTTGAATCTCACGGTTTGTTGTTATTTCTTCAGACCAAGGAGCAAACATAATGTATAGCCCATAATGTGCAACAGTGGGCAGAGAGATCTCTCCCCCTTGGTTAGTTTGATAGAGAATTGGAATGGGTGATTAAAACAGAGATTGTTAATGTGCCCACACTCAACATGAGTATGAGTGAGACTAAAGGATTCTCCTTACTGCATAGGTTTTTCTGTTAGATCTGGGGAAGAGGGAATGGGGAAGATGCTGATACTTTCTTCCCCACATCACTTCAACTTTTTTTTTCTTCTACTTGATGCAGTAGTCATAGGACCAGGGCTACTGAAACTACAAGGGTTGGAAGCAGGGATGATTCCTAAGCAAGAAACTGTGCTTTTAAACTTTGTGTTCCTAAGGGTCTGATGGAGCAGGATGTCCCTTCACCCCATCTGCCAAACTGGGGCTAACAGTGAATTCAGCTATATTGCCTGGTGGTAAAAATAGCCCACTAGTTCTATACCTTTGTAACCTTGCCTTATCTGAACAGAAGTGGGAGGGACTTGGTAAGACTAGTATTGCTGTCTACAATGTAGACAAGCACAGTGGTAAAACCTAAGGTCCTTTCCAAAGATGGAAAAGTTTGGGTATAAATGGAGAGATGAAAATATAGTAGTTATGGGTAAAGGAATGAATTAGTGATTATGTAATTAGGGATATCCCATATTACATTAACACACTGAAAGGGGCTCAGAGAAAGAGATGATAGTTCTGCCCTGACTGGGTGGGTCAATTGGTTGGAGCATCATCCTGTACACCAAAAGGTTGAGGGTTCAATTCCTGGTCAGGGCAAGACACCTAGGTTACAGGTTCAATCCCTAGTCAGGGTGCATAAGGGAGGCAACCAATTGATGTTTATCTCACATCAATCTCTCCACCCCACCCCTAAAATCAATAAACGCATCCTCAGTGAGGATTAAAAAAAATATATATATATGGCCCTCACCAGAGTGGCTCAGTTGGTTGGGCATCATCCCACAAAGGGAATTTCCCGGTCAGGACACATGCCTGGGTTGTGGATTCAGTCCCCTGTCAGGGAGGCAACTGATCAATGTTTCTCTTTCACATTGATGTTTCTCTCTCTTTCTCCCTCCCTTCCCCTGTCTAAAAATAAATAAAATATTTTAAAAAACATTTTTAAAAAATGAGTTCCTTTGCTCAATTATACCAGATGCAGGGTGAAGCCATATATTGCTGATACCTCTCCTGCTTTTGGAACCTGACACAACCAAACAGAAGCCTGCAAACCTGAGTGGCCTCGCCCTGGGAGTCATTTTCATATATGATGATGGACTGGATAGTTGTTGACTGAATGGGACTCTAGTTATTTGCTCTTATCTTTTGACCTTTATGATTGTTTTGCTGTAAGGCATTCATGTTCAAAGACCAAGGTTAGACTGTGATATTGATTTATAAAAAAATATATTTGGTTTTTTCTCTGTTTATGGCACAGAGCTTCTAAAACCGCTGGGATTTCCTAAGATAAAAATGATAAAGGTGTCTTTTGTTGTTAATGACTTTTGGAGTGCACCCCAGGATAGGGGCTGGTTGCCAAGGATGCCAGGTGACAAGAGGGTTAGAACTTTAAGACTAACCCACCCCACAGCCAGGAAGGGGAGAGGGACTGGAGGTAGAATCAATCACCAATGGCCAATGACTTTATAAATCATGCCTATGTAATGAAGCTCCGTAAAAACCCCAAAGGACAGGGTTCGGAGAGCTTCCAGGTTGGTGAATACTTGAGATTCAGGGAGAGTGGCATGCTTGGAGAGAACATCAAAGCTCCTCGTCCTTTCCCTAATGCCTATCACTCATCTGGCTCTTCCTGAGTTATAGCCTTTCATAATAAACTGGTGATCTAGTAAGTAAAATGTTTCTTCGAGGTCTGTGAGCCACATTAGCAAATTAATCAAACCCAAGGAACGAGTCATAGGAACTGCTGATGTAAAAGCCTGTCAGATGTACACGTTAACAAGCTGTGCTTGCAGTTGGCATCTGGAGTGTGGTCTCTTGGGACTTGAGCCCTTTATCTGTGGAAGCTGATACTGTCTTCAGGTAGTATCAAAATTTAAGTTGAATTGTAGGACACCCCGCTGATGTCACAGCATTGCTTAATGGTATGTAACCACCCACTCCCACCCGATATTAGAATTGGGTGATTAGAAACTTCAATGACCAACTCACTTGCTTATAATCATACCATCCACAAAACTGTATAGCCCAACATTTGGGAATGCAAGTTCCAGAATGCCTGAAGACGTGCCTCGTTTCACATTTACTAGCTGTGTAACCTTGAGCAAGTTGTTTGACCTGTCTAGTTTTCTATTCAAGAGGTTGGTAATAGGCTTTATCTCATAGAATAAAATGAAATGTAATAAATATAAAGCACTTGACAAAGTGGCACATAAGTACTAACTATTCTTAGTACTTAAGAGAAACTTCATGTTAGTTTTTACAGTCCAGTAATATTTTTTTAAGAGGAAATGTCTCCTTATATTTAAGGTATCTTGACATGAATCAAGTTATACTTTAAGTTTCTACATTAATCAAATGAGGTTTAGAAAAGAATTAATCTTATGTTCATGCCTACTTACTTAGGTTAATGTAAACAATGAAAACATTTCCTATCACTGTTCAGGCAGTTTATTGAAGGCACCTCTAACCAGCCCTTTATTGAGAAGAAACGAATTGAGGACGGGGTGATTAACAGAGGTACTTTTCCACAGGTTATAAGTAGGAAAGATTTGGTTCTTGGGAACTTACCAACAGGGGAATTTATATTTGTAAATAAGAAGTAATACTCTTGGGCAGTGTTTCAGAATCACTTAGAATACTATTTAAGAATAAAGATTTATGTCTTCCATTTAAGATGTGTGTCCTACTGAACAAGAACGTGATTGAGATGCATATTATAACAAGTTCCACAAAAGAATCTTATGCCTACCGTCAGTCACACGACAGCCACCTCAAAGAAAGATATCTCAGTTTGAGTGTAGATCCAGAAATTGCCAACTACCTTTAAACTCACAAAAATAGTATCTTCAGGAG